TGTTTGAACAAAAATACTGCAATGGCATTTAAGTCTCTCTGCTGACTGTCAGGTAGCCACACTCCAGGAAACGAAACAACCTCCTCAGACTGTTGTGTCTCTAGACCAAAAGGCATGTGTCTTTCCCCTGAGGTACCTGGGCCCATGGAAGAGAGGCTGGCTTGGCTGGAGGACAGAGTGCATGGGGAGGAATCTCGTAGCAGCCAGGCTGGACACGCATACTGTAAACAGCCTGCAAAGATGAGCAGAGGCAAGGAAAGGTGCAGTGGTTACTGAGCTTCTGTCATGCAGAAGCACCACATGGGGCAATTCACAGACATTATGGCAACTATAGCTAAGACCCCTTTATGAGATGGGTAATGTAGCAGAGTGCACCCCAGCCTTCTGACAAGAGGCATGGATGCAGGTGCATGAAGACTTTGGAAGCCTCCTGAAAAGGAATTCGTCCTACAGGAAGAATGGCGACCATCAAATTAATTCAAGGCAGTGGGGCTAGGGCCAAAGTATCAAGGTATTTTCATGCTCAGCAAATCATTAACTCTAAGCCACACCCTCATGACCTACATTGTGTAAAGCTTCAAGGACTCTTCCTATTACCTCTGGGCACAGAAAGTGGGTAAGAGGCAACACCACCAGTGTCACTGCTGTGGGGTAGATGGCCGGTCTGGTCACAAAGGCAGAGGCCCTTTCAGGGGCTTCAAGATTAGCTTGGCACCCATGCTCTCAGAGGCACTGGCCACCTGGCTGCCACCCTGGCATTGCCCCCCAGCAGTGTAGCCACACCACGTGCCGGAGCTGGGAATGGTGTATATCATTAAATGTGAAGGGTGAGGGCCTCCCTGGTGGCATAAAGGTCAAAGTCTCAGCACTATCACCAGCCACTGTAGCATGAGTTCAATCCCCAACCAGGGAACTTACCCACAAAGTGCAGAAGATCTCTCCTGTCTCGCCTGCTGTTTCCCCCAGCAGTGTATTTTAGTTGATCCGCCTGCTATGCTCCCTGCTCAGTCTCTGATGAATCCTCTCAACCCCCTCACCTCTGGCCTGCACCCCTGTTCTTGTATGCATAAACAAATAAAAATAATTCTTTAAAAAGAAAGTGTTGGGTGAGCACAGTACATGTTGGAAGTGGAGGCAATAAGGGAGAGAGACCGAATCTGTAGCATTTGCCAATATCTGTGGTGTAAATACTTGCATGACAATTTCAAGCCACTGGCAGGGCATGACTGAATGAAAGAATGGGAGGCAATGTGCAGCTGCTCCGTGCTGTGGTGTTTCCGCCAGAATACAATAGACATGACCCCAAGAGCACAGCTAATAGTAAAATATAGTGAAATAATTAGGAGGTAATGAGTTTTGACTATATATTCCCTTTATTTTCAATATAAGCTATTTAATTGCAACTTTACATAACCCATTTTTAACAATAACTATTTTTAACAGCTGTTTGGCAGAATCCCTAAAAAATGTCATGATTGGCTCTTGAAAGCCAGTAAGAGCCAGCCCTGGCATGCCACTGACTTGGAAGGAAGAGAATGTGGGCATCCCGTGGTGTGTGAGTGACCCATGCAAAGCCCAGGAAGACACTCGGGGGCATCTAGAGCTGCCTGGGCGGAATTTAACCAGAGCAGAATTGATCACAGAGAGGGTGGGGCAAAGTCTGGGAGGTACTGTTTTGTGGACAAATTGACTCTCTTTCTATTTCTGATCACTGGCAGACACTGAAAACCAAACCAAGGTGTCAGCACTAAGGTCTTTTCCCTCTAAAATGTAGTTATGCAAAATACTTCCGCTCCTAGCAACAGGAAAGACTGCTCCCTGCTCCTCATAGGAACAAAAATAAGACATTTCCCCTTCTTTCCTTACCAACACCTGGCTGTGTCCTGAACCACCACTCCTCTGCTCAGCTCATTCTTCTCTCTGCCAAGGGTGAGGCAAGTCACAGAATGCCTCCTCCAGCACCAGCCATCATAGAGCCTTCTGCCTAAGCCTCGAGGGCACAGGTAGCTGCGAGGTGTGGCAATTCTAGGTTCTTGACTTCATGAACCAGAGCTCAGTTTGGAACAGAACAGCCCAAATCCAGGAAAAGAAAGGGTTATGAAATGAATCTGTGCAATGACACAGCGTGAGTGCAATTAATTGTTGTCAAAGCATTTTGCTGGCTGCATTCATCTCTTATGTAGGAGAACAAAGCTGTCATAACGGTGACAACTTTATTCAACAGTGGTGCAATTACCAAACCTAAAAATAGGAAGCAAAGGGGAGGTTTTCTTGAGAGGGTTGAGCTCTGTTACCCATGTGGCACGCCTGGGACAGTCCACCCCCAGGATTGAGGGAGGAAAGAAAGGAAGTTGAGATTCATTGAATGTTGCCATGTGCTACTATGAGGAGCCTTTTGCTGTTTTAATCTTCCCTTCAGTTCCGTGGAGGGAGGGAGAACGGAGTGGACCACTGAGCACCAAGATTTGCTTTATAAGACAGGCTCTCAGTACTAGCTCGACATACATAATTTACTGTGATTATCACAACCACACTCTAAAGGAGGTGTTATTATTACTATCACCACCCCCTGTTTGCAGATAGGACAGCTGGGTCTCAGAAAGGCTAGAAAGTTTGCACAGGACCCTACACCTCAAATCCTTCTGGTTACAAAATCATTTATACTGTGAGCCATGGGTGGCGAGCAGAGCCACACTTTGGGACAGGACCCCCCCCCCCGGGGTTATTTTTCACCCTCTTTTCTCTGTTTTGGCAGATCCCATCGCCCCTTCTGTACCACAGCACCCCCTTGGAAATGCAAAAATAGTCAATGTCTTGGAGTCCAAAAGACTTGATCTGGAATCTCGGCTCTGTTATTAGTAATTGTGACATTGGTTCACATTTGGGTAGCCTCTGTAAACTTTCGTATTTCAAATATAGAGGACAAGAATAGTTCCCACTTCATTATATTGTGAGCATGTATGAAACGATGTCTGCCAAGTGCATGGTACCCACACATGCAAAGATTTCACACCAGCTGTTATCACAGCTGGTGATAGAACAGCTGGCTAAAGAACACAGCGCTGAAAAGAGCTGACCTCCGCTTGGGATACCACAGATGGGGGTGGGCAGCAGCGGGGCAGCTGGGCCCAGGGACCTTCACCCCATCCCACACGGTCACTCCATGTCCCTTCCTTCAGAGGCCCTTGTGCGGCTGAGCACAGGGCAGAGTAAAGATGGCCAGAAAACTCAACCCCTACAAAGTGTCAGGTCGTGTTCACTATGTATGGGGCACAGTTCTAAGTTCTTTACAAAATGAACTGATTGAATCATTATAGCAAATTAATGCCATGGGTGCGATTATGCACTTTGCTTCACAAAGTGAAAAATCAGCTTAAGGGGCTCTCCCCAGGTCCCACTCTGACCCTCAAGGCACCCCCGTGCCAGGGCTAAGGCGCTGCCTGAGTGGATGGGAACCAGAGTGCCAGCACTGCCAGCATGCGATGCCCCCTGAGACGTGCTCCCCTGGGTGCCCACGCTCATGCTGGGTGGAGTGAGCTCTCTATCACCCAGAGGTAACACTCACTTTGTGATTTATCGAGGGTGCTATTTCCCCTGCTTCACTCTCCTTCCTCCCTTTGGTCCTTTCTATGCAATAAACAAGACAAAGATGTAGGGCATGAAAAATTATGTGAGCAGAGGCAGACCTGAGTTTAAATTCCAGCCATGGCTACACATGCTTACCACTGTGGGCTACTGCCAGAGACTTGTCTTCTGGGAGTTTCATCATCTAGAAAGCAGAGATAATGTGGACTTCGTGGTATTATAATGAAGATCAGCCCAAGACCACAATGTGCATCTACTATTATTTCTCCATTTATCATAGTGTTTCATAGTATTGTGCTCTTCTCTGATTAGTTTACCCAGGGAAGACTCACCTTCCCTCAGTGTGATCTGTAAAGTGGGGTAAGAATAACCAGACTTCTTTTGTAAGGATGGGGGAGATCAGGGCACAAAGCTCCTAACACAGCACCTGGCATGTAACATGGACCCTAACGACTCTGCCAGGTAACCACTGGAATTATTTCCCAGTCACAACTTGTAGGAGGGAAATATTTGGATGTTTCTCTTCCATGAACATAAGTACCCAAGAAGTACTTGCAGTGGTTAAAGCTTTCAGAGGATCACCTTAGAGAAGACCCTCTCACATGAAAGTAAAGCTGAGGCTGGCACAGTAGGAAAAGAAAACCTGACATGCCCTCTAGAGCACTTTCTTTTAAAAGTATTCTTTTCTCCAAAAATTAATGCTAATCAAATATTGCCATACGCTAAAATGGCCCACCAGCTTCCAGATGGGATAGAAAGAACATGGGGTGAAGTCACATCACATAGGTCCAAAGGCAGTCTGGACTGTGGGGGTCAGTCAGTTACCCTCTCTGAGTCTCAGCATTTAGAAAATGGGGGGGGGGGAATAGTATCAACATCATAGGATTGTGAGGAGGGCAAATGTGGATGCCACCTGCAGTGTAATAAAACACGACGTAAATGGGAATGGTTATCACACACTGCTAAGAAAATTATATCAGATTTAATGCTCAATCACAGTAAATTGAGCCCCTCAGGATGGTGGTTATCACTGTAACCTCCTACTTTATAGTCCTGAATTTGCTATTTTGATGTTAACAGCCTTCATGTGCTTGTGTGTGCTATTATAAATCATCTCAAATCTTTTTGAAAAGAGGCAAAGGATAAAAACAAAACAGCTCCTTCATAAGAAGTAAAGATGGACCCTCTCCTTCACATATATTCGTGTGACAGTTGTGGGGTGACACTCGAGGTCTGCAGCCTGGAGCCCAGGGCCGTTTCTCTGGATGAAGGTAAGTGGTCTTTCAGGAATGGAGTCTAAGGTGAGGTGGCCAGCCCTAAAGGTAATGCTCCCCCCACCCCAGCCACAGCTACTCTGCCAAAGCAATGGTGTTGGTGAAGAGGGAGTCTTGGGAGCAATCCATCTGCTCCCCTGCAGCCCCCCAGCTCATCCCATGTCCTCTCAAATTCTCCGGTTTTATATCTTCAGCCTCAAGTCTGCTTTTGTTTTCTGGAGAATTTTTAGAAACAAAATGCCTTTTTGAAAATTTGCTATTTCTACCTACTCACCAACCATACGGAGACAAATCGAGCCTGTAATGGAGTTTAAATGAGACACTCAGGTAGGCGAGACACCCAAGTTGTTGCTGCATTTTAAACATAGCTCACAACGTGTTACACAAACACCATTCATAAACCTGAATCACAGGTTTCAGATGGGAACTGGGTACATGTATAAATAGCCTGTGTATGTCAGAAGAAAAAGAAGGGATGATGGAGGAAAAAGGTCAAAATCAATGTGGCCAACTGAACCATAATAAAAATCTCACCCTTGTCATTATTTACAACCTCCTAGCACAACTACTCAAAAAGGAGAGAATATCAAATGGAAAGTTCTAAATAAATTAACGTCTTTGCATTGAAGTAAACAGTGTGAATGATGCTGCATCGTGAAATGAAGTTGTAATTAAATTGTCTCACTTCTTGGCCACCAGATGTCCACTGCACAGGGCGGTCATGCCAGCATTTCCGGAACTGTTCTGGAAGGTGACCTTGCCCAGTGTTGACCAGTTGATCTGCAGTCACTAACTCTGTGATGGCTTTGGATGGCAACAAAAGAATACAGTTCATGGTGGTGAAAAACTAACACTTGGAATGTGTTGAAAACGTTCTTAAAAATCTTTTTTCACTAGGACTCCCCTCTCCCCAGTTCAGTCCTCCCACCCCGTCATTTTGGACACAACTCATGACCAACATACTGTGCCAAATCCCGTCCATGATGTCACTCAGCCAGGCTGTCACAGAGCAGGGCATGAAACGCCCGTGCAGGCCCAGGGCTGGTGACAGCTAAAGGCCAATCTGCACAACTTCCAGAGCCTTCCCACTGAAGTGAAGGGCATGCCCCTGACTTGAACAACAGTCTCAGATAGCCCACAACATCCTTGGCATCTTTCACGGGCCCCACAGACTCAGCCTCGACTTTGGGGTCACGTTGTTTCTTAGCACGTTCCAACCTCCACCTGAGGTCCAGGAGCCCAGTGTGAACTTGCTGCAGGGACTTGTTCGATGAGGAAGCAGAAATTTCGGCTCAGGAGTGGTTCAGTGTTTCAGCAGCATGTCCCCAGCACACTGCCACCACCTGAGTGTGGGATGTGAATGTCAAAGACTGTGATACACAGGCAACAACATATGTGCACAGTTAGCTTGGGCCACGGGCTAATGTGTGGCTCCAGTTCCCAGTTCCAGGTGTCCACAGCTCGCTCTCTCACATCTCCCCCTCGGGTCTGTCCTTCAATCACCAGCAGAAGTGGATCTCTCCGCCTCCAGCCTCTCCCATCTCAGTCTCCGATGATGTGTGTGGTCTCTGAGTTAAGAGCTCACTAAGGTGTAGATCATGCTAAGAGCAAAATGGAGAAAAGAAGGCATGAGTGGGAGCCTGCAAAGGGCCCAGATTGGCTTTCAGAAGAGGGCTTTTCCCAAAACCAGACCCCTTGGTTTCTTAGCCCACTCACTGGACATCTTGTCTACTCCCCTGTCGCACCCCCAACAGCTTTCTACAACATAGGACCAAATATTTGTTAAAAGAGCATATTGCAACCTTTGGGTAAAAGATGTGATTGTTCTAAGTGTCTATTATCCTCGCCGAGCTGATTATTATGGTTGTTATTCCTCTTTCTTGTGATGTCAGGGTGCAGCTGATTCTTTATCCCTCCCAGCTGCCACATGCTTCTGTGACGGCTCTGTCCATGAGCGCCCCGCTTACACCGGATCATGTGTTACTTGGGGGAAACCATCATCCTCTCTCTTACAAGGACTGATATGTGGACACAGGGCCTCTGGGCACACATGCTACAGTAATTCTTAATTGGGTAATTCCCTGGTCATCCTGATTAAAACAAAATCCAGGATATTAGACATGCATCATGAGCAATGTCTTCAGGTGGCTCCCCAACATAACTGAGGAAGGAGAGTGGTGCATCCCTAATTCTGCAAGGTTAGGGGACATTCTGCATCAAAAGAAATCATTTTGCCTGGCAGAAAGAAAAACAACCATCTTTTCACATTTTATAGATAGAAAGGATAATCCAAAAAACAAAACCAAAGGAAAGAAACTAAAGTATGTTACTTCTAACTCTATCCAGTTGCAAAGACCCAATGAGCTCTTCTCGGCAGCTAAAGTTTTATCTGCAAGAACCTGATATACCTCATGTCCAGAGAACATCATTAGTCAGGATTGGAGCTAGAGGGGTCTTACTGGATGAGGGTCAACAGGAAGTGGATTGCTCCATGTCACGCAGCTAATGAAGGCAAGGTGAGGAACCAGAGTGTGACGCCCAAACCAATGTTCTTTCTGTGATAAAACTGAGCTTCATTGTGAATGCCTTTGATGTCTCGCTTTCAGTCACCCATGCAGTCAATATTCATTGAGGGCCTCCTGCATGCCAGGCACTACTCTGGGTTCTTGGAAACAATGGTGAATGCACAGCCCCGGTCCCTGCCTTGAGGGACTGCACAGTTATGCCGTAACAACAAGGATTGAATGAGCACCTACTGTAGGTCAGGCCCTGACCAGGGCACTGCAGATACAGAGGGAAATGAAATAGACAAGGTCTCTCAAGTAAACCATTAATAACATAATTACAGAATAAGAGAAATAACCATGGGGAAAGCCAAGCATGACCCAAAGCAAGAGAGCAGGAGGGTGGTGCTAATTTATGTGGGTAATGTCGCTGATCAACAGTCTTCATTTGGAAAGATCTTTATCTTAAACAGAGTTCACACTGCACTCACCAGGAGGGATAGTATTAGTGCCAGTGCAAGTGCTGGTCTGTCTTAATGTTAGAGTTAGTGTTAGTATTATCTACCTCCCATCCCATGAAACCTTCAAATGTCTCCTGGTCCACAAGACACTCTGAGAAGGGTGGCGCTGGATGCCACAGTGCTTAGGAAAATAATGGGAAGAGCCCCTGTTTTAGAGCCAGATAGATTGCTACTTGCTAGTACCATGGACACATTTCTTTGCCTCTCCGAGGTCCTCAGAAACCTCAGCTGTAAAATGCCATTCCCACTCATGGGTTCCCAGCTCTGCCACCTGAGTCTCTGTCACCGAGCTCGGCTCCAAGGCAGGTCCCCACGTGTGTCTCCTCCCCTCCCTCTGAGAATGGCCCAGGCTGACAGTCCTATGCGCTCTACCAGCTCCGAATCTGGGGGACCAAGAACTCTTGAGGTGGGTGTAAGGGGTTCTTTGAGAAGCCCTGAAGTGCCCTAACAGGTCAGGTTCAACAAAGATTGTGGAGCCCTGGCTGCTCCCAGTGAGGTGGAGGAGCTGTTGACTCCAATTTTGTTTTGGAAACAAAGCAATTAACGAGTAACATGAAGGCAGTGCCAAAATGAACTAAAGGACTTGAGGACAGATAGTCAAACAGAATGTCTGGAACACAACTGCTTACAAAATGATCACACCCAACTAACGACTGGCAGGAGCTACCAACATCACCCCCACACCATCCGTCCCACCCCCACAGCTCGGCAGATAGAGCTGCTTTGCTCCCTCTCTGTGAATTCACATGCCTTCTTGCCCACAATGTCTTAGGCTCCAGCAGTTACTGCAGCAAAGCTGAATGGAAAGAACTTGACCTGCCTCAGTGTCCACTTGGATGAAGGTGGACCCCAGATTAAAGAAGCAAAAGCCAGGTTCTGCTGACTTTGAGGGGAGGCAGTATACCTCTGAGGACAGGCCACTTGGTCTATGACTGCAGCACGGTCTGTCTGCAGTCCCACCAAGAAAGAGACTGCACACTCTCCACTGAAGAAACCCAACTCCTCGTTAGCCTAAGGTTTACATTGCTAAGCTTGTGAGGACCTGGCCCACACTTTACTGGTTTCCTAATAGGACCAATAAAGAACCACCTGAGTTGCTAGAGAGTTCAGACTTGGAGTGAGAGGCTTAAGTGAACCTGTTGGGCACCTTGGGAATCTCCAGAGAGGCTTCAGGGACCCTCAGACTCCTTGCAAGATAAGCAGATAATGTCCCAGGACACCCCACTAACGAGGAGAAAGAAACAAGTCACCCTGAGCCTGGACCAACACTTGACTCCAAGAAGAGTATGTCACAGAAAAACTGAACCTCCTTCACAGGAAGCCCTACCTCCAGGACTTGCGTGACTTCCGGACACAGGATGCAGAGGGGAGAGGAGGCAGAACCAAGCAGCACCTCCAGAGTGGCAGGTCTCACCCTTTTGGCATGAAATTCTCAATCAGCAGATCTAAGCCCAGGAACCTGCATTCTGAAGGAGCACATGCTCCTCAGCCCCTAATTTCGGTGCAGGATGCCCGAAGACCACATTCTGGTAGACTTTTTTAGGGCTGTCTGAGAGACAGCAGCAGCCTTGGGGATCAGAGTGAGATGGACTCAGACTTGAGACAGAATCAGGAAAACTAACTTCTCAGATTCTATTTCCTTGTTGTGAGTTTGTGGACAGTGACAGCACTTAGCTCAAGATAGGAGCAATACATGTGAAGATCTCAGCCAGAGTCTGGCGCAATTTAAATGTAGCTACTTCCAAGCCTGACCTGAATGAACCCTGTGGCCTTGGTACCTAGCCACCAACTTCCTTTCCTCCCCTAGCCACGGAGAACTGAGCCACTTTGGAGACAGCACCAGGACACTTACAGGTAGTGACAGGAGAGCAAGGTGACCAGCCAGACACCCAGAGAAGAGCCCACAGAGGGATGAGAAGGAGGAGGTATTTTCAGAAAAGGCACTCTCTGGGGTATCAAACCATAAAAGAATCTTTTTATAGCTATCTGCTTACTGGGATGTTTTGAGTAAAAAGATGAAAAGAGGGGAGATTCCTGAAACAATCGCCAAGTCATCGTGCTTCTCTTAATTAAAATGGTGTTATGTAACATTGGGGGGATTGTTAGTGTAAGCGTTTAATGACCCAACCTGCCCCTTGGTGAAACATGGCAACTGCTGGGGGGGGTCTCTGTTCTGGTACCCAAGAATGCTTACACACAGGCTGGGGACAAGGAGCACAAGGCTGTGTAGCTGGGGCCACTGACTGGCCCAGCTGCAGAGTCCCAGAGGCAGGGAACAGAAGCGACAACCTTACAACACCCACCATCTCCCAAGAGGTGTACCAGGACGTGCCCATCAGCAGGCAACGCCTCCTGCTCCCTGAGTTTTTTTTATATAGAAGCCCTTGCTCTGAAACCACTCAGCTGGGGTTAGACCTGCTAGACCACCTGCCAAAGACCAGGAGGCCAATCTAATTTCCTCTCTTTGCTGCAGGCGTCAAACACACCATGGGGGGGGCAGAAACTCACCAGTAAAGGTAGTAGAAGAAGGAGAGGAGATAAAAGGCCAGCTTACACCAGGCCTCCTTCTGACAGTAACTCAAGGTGTCTGCATTCATGACCACAGGCGGGTCATATGCTAGTTCAGAACTATCTGCCGGACAGTGGAAATACCTGTAGAAAAAGAGGACACGGCATCATTGCCTCCAAGTCTCGGAAGGGACATCAGAGGCAGGACTTCCCTCAGGGGAAGCACTGGAAGCTGCTGTCTGCCTCCTGCCCAAATCACAGCCCAGGCACTGCAAGAAGAGACTCCGGCACTATCTTCCAGCAGGTGGTGATCCCCCAGGTACTCAGCTCCAGGGCATTGTGGCGATTTCACCCACATGCAACAGAAGGAAAGATGTTTCTCCCGGTGTTACCAGGGAAGTACCAGGAGGAGACCCCTTCTCCACGGGGGCGGAGGAGCCGACACTGTGTATTAATGGGGAAATGCGGATAGCACAGCACAACCCCGCTGCCTACATGGAATGCCATGATCCTACCTTAATCATGAGCTACTCTGGATTAAATATCAACCTCTACTCACACCCTCATTTGAAATCTTGAACACTCTTGAGTGGGACTTCATATTCCCACTAGAGAGTGGGGTAGTTTACAGATACTTTTCATCTTGATAGAAGGATCCAGAACAGCAAAATGATCACTGGTCATGTCGGGCAGAGAGCACCCCCAAAACAGTGGGCAGAAGACCAGAGGGAGGAGAGGGGCCAAAGCAAACTGTGCCTGCCTCAAAATATCACATCAGCTCACAGGGAACTGGCATGTTCAAAGGACAGAAATTTCCAGCTTGGCGAGACGGTGCAGGAGGCTTAATCCCAGGCGCCCTTAGCCTGGTGAGCTGGTGGAGCAAGGACCTGTCCTCTGACTCAATGGGAGGCCCCTGGGGCCTTGGTCACATCCCCATGTGAGGCTGAGGATGAAATGCGGCTGAAATGGCTCGAAGGCTGCTTTTTTGTCAGATGGTAAAGGAAGAGGAGGCCAGGGGTGCAAATTAATGGTTCCTGCAAGGCTCTGGGACAGGCTGTGGTTCTTGATCATCAACAAGGACCAGGAGAGTGGACTCTGACCAAGGGATTAATCACATTGGCTTTGAAGAGCATTCCTGTAACATAGCAACTCGGGGAACTGGTATTCAGTTTCTTCTTCCGTCCCCCTGAGAGGATCGCACTGACATTATCTGTCATCCACACTGTGCTGAGAGAAAATCACAGGCCAGATTCAATGATATCTGCCAACTCGCAGCCCTCCAGGCCACTCACCTCTCCTCTTCCCAGGGGCAGATTTCAAAACCTATTTGCTTTAGCTGTGGCATTGCTCCCAGATGACCTCATTAAGTGGAGTAGGGAGGCCAAGGGGCTGCTGCTCACCGGCTACCAGGCTGATCTTCCTCGGGTCAGCCACTAACCTCTCTCAGCCTCCACTTTTTCATCTAAGTGGGGATGAAATTGCCCACTCACGGGGCTGCTGTGTGATGGTGTGATGTGGAGGGTGCAAAAATGTGCAAAACACAGGCACTGACAAAGGCAGACAGTTCCCTTCTAAGCAGACAGGGCAGAGAGGGGCTTGATCTGCAGGGGAGAGGTGACTGGACTGACCTGCTGGAAGAGAAGGGAGAGGAAGAAAGAGAGAGTTGGAGGACCCTGATTTTTACAGGACACCTCCCAATATTTTCTTTCATTTTCTGAGCAGCTGCCAACTGCCAAGAACGAGGCTAGACTCTGTCAGGGATTAAAAAAAAAAAAATTACAACATCCCCCCCCACCACCACCAGAAAGACTGCAATGACTCTTCTCATACAGACCCAAATATTCCAAGTGTAAGGACACACCGGCTGGCTCTCCGACTCCTCCTCTTTGGATTAGCAAAAGATACAGTTTTGTGGGGCCTCCCCAGTAGCGCAGCAGGTTGAACACAGCACTGTGAAGCTGTCTGCAGCCTCTGCAGCACCAGTTCGATTCCCACCAGCCAGGGAGATACCCACGTGGCAGAGGAGACCTCTCCTATCTCACCCACTGTTCCCCTCAGCAGTATACTTCGGTCTGTCTGCCTATTCTGTTTCCCGCTCTGTCTCTGGTGAATCCTCTCATGCCCCACACCTCTGGCCTGTACCCCAGCTCTTGCATAAAAATAAATAAATCTTTAAAAAAAAAAGATAAGAGTTTTGCAAATTGATCAAATGTTCAACCCCTTACATTGACATGCACCCTTCGAAGGACCTGGGGATATAGTCCTCTATAAGGACAAGAGCCAGTCCCTGGGGCAGTGTGTAAGCACATGGACTGCCATCCAGGAGAGGACACGGCCCTGCCATGTCCTAGCTGAGCGACTCTGGGCAAGGACTGGAGCTTTGTGAGATGCTGTTCCCCATGTGCAAAATAGACAAAAGCAACTACAACTACCCATTGTGGGTTCTGGACAAGGAAAGTGTGGAAAATCCTTCAGTGGGTACACAACACGTTTCAACACCCCAATGCCTCTATTTGACTTCTCTGAGCTCACATTTCAGTATTTGAATCGTTTTCTCTCATGCCCAAACCTGTGATTTCTTCTGTCTTTCTGGTTTTGGTCAATGGCACCATCACCCTCCCCATCATTTAATAAGGTTCCCTCTCCCTCGCCTCCAGCACCCAGGTATTGGCCAAGGCCTGTCCAGTTTACCTCCATGGCTCCAATCCCCTGTCCATTCCAATTTCCACCACCTAGTTCAAGACTCCATCATCTCTTCACCTGGAATTTCACCATCACCTCCTAAACTGACTCTTCCTCATAATCGTAGCCTTTAATCTACCCCTGGAATTGATGTCAAAGTTATGTTTCTAATAATCACTTCAGGCTAGCTCCTGAGGCTTCCCATTTCCCACAGAACAAATTAATTCCCACTTTCCTCTCCAATCATTTTAGATCATCCGTATCTGACTCCCAGCTGTCTGTCAGCCCCGTTTCTGCTCACTTTCCTCCAAGAATCCTTTATCCAGCCAAACTGAATAACCGCTTTTCTCCAGTTGCTGTCCTCTTACTGTCGGGCTTATGCGTATGCTAGTCCCTCAACCTAAAATGTGCGTTTCTAGATGTTCACAGGTGATTCTCCCAGTCCAATTTAAATGCTTTTTTCTATACACTCCAACATGTATTCGCCAAGTATCTACTAATATACTTCCCTCTGCCAATAGGGTGTATGTTCCTTGAGCAAAGGCTATATGTTACATTGATGCTGGAATCTCATGTCTGGCATTAGCATGTGTTCATAGGCTTAATTCCATATGAAGGAATTAATTCTCCAGGCATAATTAAATATAGGTTATATTTTATGGTAAATGACAATGATGAAATATTTTAGAGGACCAAACTCTGGGATCCAGGGGTGAACACTTCTGTCTTGCCCCTTCCCTGTCTCCTATATACATACAGTGATGATATTTTTATGAAAGCCCAAATCATAAGAACTGATGCGTGGCCTTAACAAGCAATAGAGTGTTTAAAATCAGAACTATCCCAGAAAAATCTAGCCTCTCTGGTAGGTACACTTATTTTATATAAATATAATTCATATATCATAAAATTTACCCTTTCGAAGTATTCAGTGGGTTTTCGTATATGGATAGAGTTGCACAGCCATTTCCAGTTTCTAATTTCATAACATTTTCATCACCCTCAAAAAAGAAAATCCTGCATCCGTGGGAGGTCGCTCCTTTCCAGGCCTGGGCAACCACCAATCTCCTGTCTGTCTCTGTAGATTTGTCTACTGTGGCTATTCATAGAAATGGCCTTTTATGACTGGTTTCTTACACTCATAATGTATTTCAAGGTTGATACACGTTATAGTGTACACCAGCACATCTGTGCTTTGGTTGCCAAATAATATTCTATTTTAAGGATAGACCACATCTTGTTTATTCATTCATCTGTTGATGAACATCTGGGAAGTTTCCATTTGGGGGGCTATTGTGAATAATGTTGTGGCTGCTTTTAATACTGATCTTCCAGAGTTTAGGCTGTGGCTAATGGAGTTAGTGAGAGGAGTCTTCCCTTGTAGGACTTACTGAGAGTAGCTTGGGAAGAAGGCTCTGGAGAGGGTGCCCAAAAGGAAGGGATGACAAGAAGGTGGCTGATCTACTTGGGGCCATTGTCTATGGAAGGCCAGCGAGTTAAGCAGAAAAGAGGATGGGCAGACCAGTGTCAGGCAGACTTACCTCCAGAAGTGATAGAAAAGTAATGGGACATTCAGCCCCAGGGTGAGCCACTCCTGCGCACACAGGAACATGATGCAGAAGAGGCTGTGGATGGAGTATTCTGGCAGCACCAGCTGAAGAAGAAGCAGAGACACAGGCCTGGGTTAGAGGGAGGAAAAGTCACTCCTGCTTGGACACTGACTCTGACAGCTGGTGATATACTGCCACAGCAAAATCACGGTCCCACAAACTGTCATCCATTTCTGGTAGGTTTTCTGCTTCCTAGTACCAGAGCCATGCTTTATACCCAGCCCCAAATGGACATAGGCCTCAGTACCAGCACACCACCTAACAAAATACTGCACTTGCTTCTTGGGGTCACCCATGGATGACACCAGGAAGACTACAAGAGAGGTCCAGACTCTACAATGTCTGAACTGAGGCAGGATCCACTAGGAGAAAAAGTAATAGGGTTTCTAGTGATTCTATACCTGCCTTGATCTTGTTTTTCTAGCCCCATGTTTATCTTTCTATATAGTAAATCACAAATCTAAAGTAAATACATGTGTTTATTCAAATATGGAGGATTGAGAAAAATAACTGAGAAACTACATTTTGCTTGCTGATGGGTGAATCCAGGGGAACCCAGAGAAAGAACATGACATGCAGTGATGGTTGAAGAGGAAAGCATAGCCTTTGGAGAAAGGGGAGAGAAACCAGCCCAGACCAAGAAGAGTACGGTGGTGGAAGTGGACTCACAGGAAGACAAATACCCTCCATTCACCCACACAGATGTCAAAGGGTAAAAAGAGATTGAAATGATAGTGAACACCCTCCCAAACAAGGCTGTTTACAACAGACAGAAATCAGAGTTGTAATAGAAATCAAAGGAAAAAGTTGGTCCCTAGGCAAGCAGTAAGGAAAATCAAAGACAGATGCAAATGCACCATCTTTCTCAGTCACAGAGGGATGTGTGTGTGTGTGTGTGTGTGTGTGTGTGTGTGTGTGTATTACTGTTTGGACCATCATAAATGCTATAGTCCTTCTAGCAAATCTTTCTAGCCATCCTTCAAGGTCCATCTCAAAGGCCTCTGCTCTAATGGCAGCTCTGCCCACCCCTCCCTACCTCACCCCGCTCCACCCTGCAGCTCTGAGGCCTGCACCGCATCGTGCTTCCTGACCCACCCCAGGGCACTGACCACAACTGATCCACAAGTGTCATTCTCCTCGTCCCATGTGCCCCCTCCGCAGATCCACTCCATAGCTCTAATAAGCTGCTTGCTGAGCTCTCATCTCCATCTGCAAAGTGCCTTGCATAATGTCTGGCACTTAGTAGAGATTTAAAACTTAAAATGCACTGACCAAGTGCATTTGTTTGTGCCGTGGCTGACTGGTGGTAGGGATGTGTCCTGTGGCCACAAACCAAGACTTCTCTAGGTGTGAAACCAACTGCCTCAAACTGTCCTATTAGGTAGAGAAGATGATTTTGGTCCCCATTTCTTGCTTCAGTCAGATGTACTAACTACCCCAGATGACAGATCCAGAGGGAGACACGCACTAAAAATCAATATACACTGAGGTGCACATGTAAGAAAGGCATTTCAGAACCAAGGGTCTTTTTTATTCTCAAGTCTGATGAAGAATGAATTCCATTGACCCACACCTTGGAATCATCAACAGAGAATGAGAGAAAGAGCCGTTACTCCAGAGACAGCGATAGTGAGCAAACCTGGCAGCCTGTCCCTTCGAACCTCAACCAACTCAGGGGAGGGGATACGTCTACAGTGCCTCCTCCCAGGACTGAGACATCCTTGCCGACTCCATCTGTGCCTCCCCTGCCTCCTCTCATTTGGACAGAAAGCACATTCTCAGCTCAGGCAGGCAGGCCAGTGTTAAGAGTAGTAGCTGTGACTTCTGCCGTACACGTCTCTATATTTTTAAATCGCCAGTTTCAGCCTGTTAGACTGAGATAATTAACATGTTCAGAGACAGCCACCGAGGGCCTGAATCATCCCTGATAGCACCAACCCCATCGCCAACTCCAGTGACAAATCTCTGACTGATTACAGTCTGAATTCCAGGTCCCGGTATTAATCACCGCTGCTTCCTCCCTCTTTGGGTTTGATTTACAACGCAAGCTGCAACCTTCTGAGCAGGGAGGATTCATCACCATCACCATGTTGAGGAAAAGTGTTCACGGGTGCCAGCTAGTTCCAGAGGTCCCCAGCCTTTTGGATGGGTGCAAGAAAAGCTGAAGGACTCATCTTGCTTTTGGGGTGGCTTCTCCTAATTGCCTCTTAGTGTGACTGAATGGGATCCTCACAAGTGGGGAAGAGCCTCCAACCAGCGGATCCAGAGAGCAGAGTTGCCCTTTTCACACACCTTAGTTCTCTCCTACTTCCCCAAGCCATCGTGGTCTCCATGCAGCGGATACAGGGAATCTACACCTCCTAGACCAGATGAAGATGGGTGAGCCCATCTGCACACAGAGGGGTCATTATTGCTGCCCCGCGCACTCTTCCAGCATCCACCTTAGGGACACGGCAAGGCCGCGTTTCTCAGCGCCCAGCGACTGAGCGGGGCTGATGGGGTGTGAGCAGAAATGATGTGGAGAGAGGGCTGAATCATTGACTAACCAATGTAATGGACTCCAGAGTCTCTTTCTCCCCTCTCTAACATAGCAAAAAGACCTTTGGTTCCAAAATGCATTTCTTACATGTGCACCTCAGTGTGTACTGATTTTTAGTGCGTGTCAGCTTTACACCCTAAAACCATAAGTGAGGACAGGGACCCTGGGGCAACTTATTATGATGGACAAAAATTACGAGCAAGAAAGAAACACATGTGGTTTTAAGCTGCTGAGATTTGGGGGTTGCTTCACAGTATGATTTAACCTGCCTGGTCTGGGACAGATGAGTAATCAGTGGGAAAAGCAAAATGGTGTTCATGATCCTCCCCTGCCCACAGCCAGCCCCTCCTTTCATAAGCTGGGTGCTCAGGAACAGGCCCAAGGACCACCTGGCAGGCATAATCCTCATTCATTCGTTCTGAGCTTGTCCAGTGGGCATATAAACACCACCTCCAAATCTACCAGGCAAACAACAGAAACACAGACTGAAGCATGGACCGACCCCGAGTCATCTTCAGCACTGAGAAACTCTTATGGAAATCATAAAGAGAAGCTGTTAAATGTATAGTCTCATTCCTTCATACAACACACGGGAACTACTTTACTCAGACCATGGCCTATTGAGTTTCTGTGTCTTATTGCCTGCAGTGTTAAATACTAGATAAGTGGTCTCAATACAGGTACTGTGGGTTGTTGAAAGGCCTACAATTCATTCCAACCAGGCGGGCTCACAGAAGGTTTCATGATCAAGGTGGAATCAGGTAACTGGAAAGGATGAGTGAAACCTTATCACACACAGGAAGCCAACGGGCAGCATTCAGGAAGGGGAACTGTGAGAGCAGAAGCAGAGAGAGCTGCAGTCACTGTCCGGGCTGGGTCCTCCACCAGCCCAGCCGGGCCTTTGTCTTTTTTTTTTTTTAATATAAATGAAGATTACTTTCTTTTTTTTAATTAATTAATTTATTTATATAAGCACTGGGTACAGTCAGAAGCGCGAGAGGGTGAGAGAATTCACCAGAGCCAGAGCAGGGAGCAGAACAGGCAGAAGGACCGAAGTACACTGCTGAGGGGAGCAGTGGGCGGCAGGAAAGGTCTGCGGGCCTATTTGTCTTTTTTTTTTTTTTAAAGATTTTATTATTTTTTATTTATTTATTTATACAAGGACTGGGTACAGTCAGAAGCACGGGAGGGTGAGAGAATTCACCAGAGCCAGAGCAGGGAGCAGAACAGGCAGAAGGACCGAAGTACACTGCTGAGGGGAGCAGCGGGCGGCAGGAGAGGTCTGCGCGCCATGTGGGACCCTCCTCCGGTGGCCGGGGAGCAGCCGGGGATCGAACCGGCGCTGCAGAGGTGCGGGCAGCTTCACAACCCAGTGCTCAACCGCTGCGCCACCGGGGAGGCCCCCTATTTGTCTTTTAATGGTATTTAGATCATGCCTGACAAGAGCCAACTGACTGGATAAATGTCCCTTTTATTCCCCTCACACAGGACCCAGCCTTCTCATCACTTGCACTGGAGTCATCTTGTGCCAGCAGCATATGCTGAAGGTCTGGGGATGATGTGACAATAGGATTATAGCAACCTCCCCTCACCCCCACTATGCCCCTGCTCTGATGAACACAGAGGTCAAAGGTCGGGTGAAGTTCTAATAAAACACCAGCAAATTTCACACACTTATAAGCAAAGACCTCAAAGTTTTCACCCCACGTTCTTCCATCACTTCTATGAGAATGGATGCGGCCTCTGCTGAGGACCAGCTGTCCTTATTTCCTACCCAAATTTTAGTCCTCAGTTTCCATTTCCTGGCATACCTTTCCATCCAGATGGTCCACAATTACTCCGTGTTGAAAATTTACACTCCATCCAGTTTACCCAAATTTATCCCCTCAATTTTCAAATTCTGCTAACGGTGACCATCTCTGACTCCTCCACCTCATACATTCCCACACCAGGCTCTTTACACATCTTGCCATTTCTTGTTCACAGCCGCTTCTGTTCATTTTCTTTTTTTTTTTATTTCCACTGTCTGTTACTGATCAGGGTGCCTGCACCTCATCCCACGGCTGGCGCAAGAATCATCAGTAGGTTTTCTGTCCTGTACGCTCACCCTCTCCATCCATAGACCAGCTACCTCCTCCACCGTGTATATGACACAGTCAGCTCAGCTCTAAATCTTCATCCACAGCCTGGTTTTTTCAGGAATTTTACTTATATTCAAAATATTTTATTTCCATTTATGTATCTTTTTATTCATTCGTGTATCACTGCTTAAGTCCACAAATGATTTACAGATGACTGGTAAACTTTATATGTTATGGCAGCATAATGTAATGTGGGGTAATGTGTAAGGTGGGGAGGAATTTCTGAGCAGCTGGTATAAGCCTTCCTGGGAGCAAACATATTAAGAGGTACAGAGGCCACTTGGGGCCACAGATGCTACTCTAAGACCCAGAGTCTCCACTCATTTTTGAATGGATCCTGTCAATTCAGACAACAAACTCTTCC